AAATTTATGGCAGGGCAGCTATAGGAAACTAATGCATACCTGTATACTAATAAAAAAGACAAGTAACATAATTTTAAAATGGTCACTTCATAGAATTAAGCCTAGATGTCCAATAAATATGGTTAAAAATACTGACCACCACTAGTAATCCAAAATCAGATTGAAATGAGATCTATTTTGCCTATTATTTAGCAAAAATTTTCATAGATACCCATCCAGTGTTCTCAAGGATCTAAGAAAAGAGTGTCTTCTACATTGTTGGTGACGGTCTAAATTGGAAAGACTTTTGGGGCGCCCGGGTGGCGCAGTCGGTTAAGCGTCTGACTTCAGCCAGGTCTCGATCTCGCCGTCCGTGAGTTCGAGCCCCGCGTCGGGCTCTGGGCTGATGGCTCAGAGCCTGGAGCCTGTTTCCGATTCTGTGTCTCCCTCTCTCTCTGCCCCTCGCCCGTTCATGCTGTCTCTCTCTGTCCCAAAAATAAATAAACGTTGGAAAAAAAAATTAAAAAAAAATAAATTGGAAAGACTTTTTAGAAGGAAATGTGACCGAGTCGATCAAAATTAAACCTTATTTCCTTATGTATATCTATATACAGCTTGAATCTTCACAGTGAGTATCTTCCCACATCACTCGTGAAACTTTCTTTCAGTACATAGAAAGCAACAGAGCCCAAGGGCAATACAAGAAAAAAATGCAATACAAATGCAAAACAGAAGGTAACCTGCGTGGGGTGGGGGGACATGCATACTGCCTGCGGAGTTTTAGGACAGGAGTGACAGCACCATTAGCTAGAGTTTGTGATTTTCTCTCCTTGTCACACAGCCTTTCTGTCCACATCCCCTCTTACATCTACTGCCAACATTCTGTTTTTTTGCATCTGTCTGTGAAAGTATCCCATCCCCCAGCCCTGGTCGTCTAAGATGTCTTGCTAAAAGCTCAGTCTGCTAGCTTTGTCTGCACTCTTTGCAGCTGCTGCCTAGATTGAGGGCTAATGATGAAAGAAATGTTTTCAGTGGACACATGTTCCCATAACAGTCATCCTTACGTTTTTGTACACCTTCTAACAAAATCTGAACTCCTACTTCTTGTAATGAGCATTTTGTAATGTATGTAATTGTCAAATCACTGTTGTAATACTCAAAATTGATATGTCAACAATACTTCAAGTGAAAATGAAAATCTATAAGTAAAGTTCTGAATCTCGAAAGTAAACTCAATGAGCCGCTCAAACCAAATGCTTGGACGTGGGAAGGTGGGGAGGCCGGGCTTGGAGGTGGCAGATGATACTACTGGAGATACCAAATTTTAAGCTTTTGAAGATTGTCTCAGAGGTCGCCTTCATTGCTCCCTTCTCCGTTGTTGCATGGCTGTTTCCCCAGCATGTTCCCCTGAACTGCTCCCAGCAGTGACCTCCCAGTGAAAATCATGGGTTCTTTCTGGCTGGAATACATAGGCGGAGGGCAGCTGTCTAGTTAGATGTGAACGTGTCTAGTCATTGTAGACTGTTGTCCAAGAAGGGATTATGGCCTCATGGACCAAAACCCCCTCATTCTAGAGACAAGAAATGAATGTCTGGGAAGAAGAGCGCCTTGGCATGTTGCTGTTAGTGGGGAAGCCAGGACAGAAATCCTCTCTCCTGATTGGGGGTCCCGGATCTTTTCTCAACATTGGCCTGCCTGCCTGCCTTCTCCATGCATCTTGGGTGGAACCCGATGCTTTCCTGAGCTTTCCTTTAGGAACTTTGTTACACATTGTCAGTTTAAACATACTCTTAAAGGTTTAAGTGCTGGGCAAAATTTCCATATTGGGGACTGAGATCAGGTCCCTAATTAGCAGGCATGTTCTATGAGCTGTGGCAGGGTCATCTGCCAGATGGGCTCTGTCATTAAGGGGTCTATAAATTGCCGAGTTGAATAACTGACCATTGAGTAACTTAGTTGGGGACTCGGCAGCAAATCCTGTCATGGGTTTGCAATGTGTCTGTTCAGCTTAGGCTGAACTTCGTTTTTCCAGAATTCCCTCGTATGTTTCTGGTCGGGGTGGGCCCCAGATGAGATTGTTGTTGGAGATTTGGAGGGCAGATGGGAAGTAGCAGCCCTTTTTATAACCCACACGTTGTCCTTTTGAGCCAGCTCACTCTGTTGGCAAGAAGCAACGGCAGGACTTGTGACTTTTGCACCCTCTGCAGGATCCTGCTTCAGCTTCTCTAACACCTGGGTCTCACCTGGTGTATTTAGCTCCGTGGTGAAGGGCCCAGCTTCTGCAGGACACCTACACCCCCAGTGCCAGAGGCAACATGAATAGGCATGGTTTTAGTCTCTACTCGCAGCTTTAGCTCCTTGCCTGTGGTTCTAGCTTGTGTATCCATCCTTCCTGTGTATCCATCCTTCCCTGACTTCTGTCAGCCCTACAGACTTCAAACTCCAGCATCAGGGCAAAGATGGCCTTTAGAGACTGCTTTAAAAGCTCCTGCAATTACTTAAGTCAAATTTCTGTAAATTATATGTATTTTGTACACACTCTAGTGGTTCTGCTTCTCTGGTTGAACTGTGACTGCCACCCACCTGTCCCCCAGAAGCCAGTTTGATTCACCTTTACTTAGCAGCTTGGGCAAAGTTTCTGTTGGGCAGTACAACTTTGGCTGTCCTTTAGAATCCTCAGCTTTCAGAATCCTTCCGTACCCTCAAGAATATAAGTAAATGAAAAACCCAACCCTCTTTGATGAAGCATCATTTGACCCCCAGCAACAACAAAATAAACCTGAGCATTGACAAGGGAGAGGGCAACTCCATCCAGTAGGAGTCAGAAGAAAACTGAAAGAACAAGGACAGAGAACAAGGTAGAAATGAACTTGAGTAATGGCAGTGGCCACAGCAAGAAGCCAAGACCTGTTGTGGGCATAGATCCTGAATGGAAGAGAAAAGTTATAACTCCTTTGGAGTTTTGGGAACAAAAGAGTTTGTCATAGGCAACCTCGTGGTGTCCCTGTGACACCCACAAGATACCTGGGTTTCTGCTGGACACTTAGAGGTACCTGTCTACACCACACACACTGCAGGCAGGGTTAGAGTTTGGGAAAAAAACCCCTTGTCCTGGCTGCCCTGGGTACCAGTGATCCAGAGTGTATTTAGACATTTAAAAGAAAAAAAAAAAATCATTAGAGATGTTCTTTCAAGGAATATTGATTTATCACCTCAACAGCTTACAAGTGACTTTCAGTCCAATTATAAAGGATATAATTTAAGGTTCCGGATGCTTAGAATTCTATTAGAAGCTAAATACAAAGGAGGGATTGGAAGAAACCATCTGAAGAGGGATCTTCATAGTCTCCTTTGACCTTTTTTGTTTTTATTTGTTTTTGAGAGAGAGGCAGAGCATGACCAGAGGAGGGGCAGAGAGAGGGAGACACAGAATCTGAAGCAGGCTCCAGGCTCAGCACAGAGCTTGAGGAGGGGCTTGAACTCACGAACTGTGAGATCATGATCTGACCCGAATTTGGCCATTTAAGCAACTGAGCCCCTCTATTGATCTTTACCTTGGAATAAGCCCTCAAGAAGAAAATGTGACTAGTAAAGAATGAAAACCGGCCTGCTAGAAAGTACCTCTGGCTTGTGAAGGTTAGATGCTACAAGTCAAGGGAGCAGTCAGGCACTAACATAGAAAGTGGGGGAGCTATTCCAAAGGAGACTGCTTCTACTTCACACTCACTAGTTGGTTGTGCCATTAGACCTGTGGCTTTGCCCAGGAGGTCACCGTGTCTTACTAATGGGTGAGAGACCTAAAAGCAAGCTATCATCTTGGACTTGGAAAGTAAACCATTTTCCTAGGGTCCTATGACCCCTGCATTTTCCATCTTTATGATCCATCATAGACCATGGTATTCATGATCGTGGCCCTTGAGCATCAAAGTATAGTTTCTTGTTCTCAGTATGGTCCATTAAAGAAGGTAGGGATGTCTGTCCATATACTTTGTTAGCTTAATTGTTTTAACGGTTTTCTTAGCTCTGATTTCCGTAGTCCTTCTCTGTTTCCATAGGACCTTCAACAGAGATGACACTTTTCACCTTACTTGGTAACTGTTTCTCTTTGACTCTCTGATTTCCTATTATGGCTTGCTTTAGAAGAATACTTGATGCCCCAGTGAATGAATCTTGAAATAATTCTGTTTTCCATGAAGTCAGACTCTAAGGGTCTGAATAGCTGAGAATATTCCATATTCTTAAAGTAGAATTTGGGTGAGGCTTGTTGAGGAAGAACCCGTTGATGATGGGTTTACAGTGAGTGGTAAGTGAGAGTCCTCGGCCTGGTTTGGTGCAGGAGAGCATGTTTCTAGGGAAGATGCTGCAGAGCTTAGGTCTGTTCCGAGCATCCTGATGGCATCTTGGCACCTTCTCTCTGGTCACTTCCAAGGCTCACTTCCGCTGCATCCTGTGATTTTAGGCATACCCACCACTCTCTGCCCGTATAAAACATGATTCTGAACACACCATTACTATGTGGATACAGATGCCAATCAGGTACCCTCAGTTGTTTTCTTTAGATTGAAAGTAGAAATGAGCACTTCCTGCCCCAAACTAAAGGCAGAAAAAAGGAGTGTGAAGCGTAAGATGTTATGTAAGATTATATTGACGTGATTTTTTCTTACATGCCTCTTTGTTATGTAACACAGTCAGGCACCCTGGCTACACCAGAGTCATGGAAAGAAAGGCCTTTGGACAGGGGGAAAAAATAATCTAAGAAAGGCTGATCATTTTAATAGCTGTCCTCGGGGGAAAATGCAGATGAGGATGAAGCTATCCCAAATTGATTAGATACATCTTGGGGATTATAGCACGGCAGGATTTAACATTCCATTTCTAAAAAAACGCATTATTCTGCCAAACACTGAGTGAATGTGATTGCAGCTATCTGTGTTTTTGACCAGGGTCTTGCAGCTGCGAAAGTTTGACCTGCACTGAAATACCTCATCGAGTCAGCCCTTTCTGTGTCTTTGTCCCTGCAGCGCGAATCTGTCCAAGGCCGCCTGGGGAGCATTAGAGAAGAATGGTGCCCAGCTGATGATCCGTTCCTATGAGCTTGGGGTCCTTTTCTTGCCATCAGCATTTGTAAGTTCACGCTTGAAACTGCCTGAGTGGTCGCATGTGGAACAGGTCGGGTGTGTATGTTCTCTTCCTTTGGTCCCGGTGACCTGAGGCCGGGGTTCTAGCCTAAGCCTGTGCTGACACATACGTTTAGCATTCACTATTCTGGGTGCAGCAAGATTGCTGCTCTGCGGAGTGTACCTGGTGAGAGACTGAGGGTAATTGGTTTGGGTAAAAGTTAATCACAGTATGTATGTGTATGTATTTATTTTATTTTTAAACTTTTTAAAAATGTTTATTTGTTATTGAGAGGCCGAGAGAGACACAGCATGAGCAGGGGAGGGGTAGAGAAAGGGGAAGGCACAGAATCCGAAGCAGGCTCCAGGCTCTGAGCTGTCAGCACAGAGCCAGGCTCTGAGCTGTCAGCACAGAGCCCGACGTGGGGCTCGAATTCACAAACTGTGAGATCATGACCTGAGCCGAAATCGGTCACCTAACCACTGAGCCATCCAGGCGCCCCAGTTAATCACAATATTTAAATATTGCGAACCATAACGTGAAGATGTGTTACAAGGCGGTAGTGACAGGTCACCAAAGGGATGACTCAGCCAAGAACAAGACGTTCCTTTGGAGGAGGTCTTTGGACGCTGGAAGGCTTGAGGAAGGTTGACGGATACTTAGGGAGAGGAGCAGGCAGGGTATCCCAGGTTAGGGGAGTGTCAAGAGCCCGAGTCGGGAGGCTAGGAGGCTCACAACAGCTACTCGAGTAGGAATTCAGGGGGTCACAGGACCTGTGCAATCAGACTAACTGGTAAGCCCCCCTGAAACACACCGTGTTGGAAGCTGTGACTCTCTCAAGGTGTCCAGCACAGCCAGCTTATCTCCCAGCCTGGAACAGCTCTGTTTCTGCAGCTGAACACCAGACAGGTGGCTGGTTTTCACGTCAGAACTGGTCGCACGGGCCCTGATTTCTAAATATTAAAATCACCTTTGGCCCAGAGAGACCTTCTCACTGTAAGGGGCATACAGACCCCAAGACCACCGTCTCACCCCTCACATACTTGGTGGAATGCAGTCGGAACTGCCCACATGACAAGATGGCCAATGCTTGTTTTCTTTTTTCGCCACCTGCTATACTTGAGCTTACGATAAACATACGTATGATGCAGCGCCATCGTAAACCACGTGACTAGACCAGAAGATTCAGTGAAGGAGCACTGCCTGCTTGTTCTCAGGCTTCAATCCAGATCTATGTGACACGGCATGCCAGAGAACAAGCATCCCCACTCCACCCTGCCCAAGTGTCCTCACTGTCCCCTCCCCGCTGTAGTGAAGTTCTTTTCTCCCTCTTTCCTCCTTCGTCAGTCTTTATCCATCCTTTTCTTCTCCAGCTCGGAGGGGTTTTGCTACAAGACTGTCAAATAGGCCTCTCCAGAGGGTAATACAAGATTCTAGCACATCTTGTTGCTTTCCTGCAGAGTCAGAGCAGATCCTGACAGTGCTTCCAACTGAAGACTCCCCTCCGTATCCCTGGAGGCAGATGGTTCCCCTTTTTCTGTAGACAAGGATGTGACTTCCCAAGGGTTCCACAGCTGTCCGGATTCCAGCCCTCAGTCTCTCACTGATCCCTCCTGTGATGTTTCAGCATTATCACAGGAAGTAGTAAATTCACACACTAGAGTGATAATAGGCAGTAATTTGGTGTGACTTAGTGACTGTAGCTTTGAACTAAGGCCAAGATTATCTCCCAGTAATAATTTAAGCAATGGAATAAGTTCCAGGTCCCTTTTGTTTGGCTTTTGTTGTCCGCATTTGGAAAATTGTAGTTGTTTCTAACTATTCTGACTCAATTCCTCATCATGAAAATGGTAGTGGGAAAGAAGTATATTGTGCTTTAGGTCCTCTAGACCCTTCTAAGCTTCTAATTTTACTTCTGATTCAGTTTCTGACTGTACATTAGACCCAGCTAATAGAGGAAAAACTGGGCACAGTCATTTAGAATCCCCAAATTAGATTCTTTCTTCTATACTGTTGGAATAAGAAAGAGCCCCCATTATAGCACATCTTAGGTAGAATAGATTCAGTTATTTACAAAGACTGTCAGGCAAGAATAGAAAAAAATGGATTCCACCCCTACTATGCTAGGCCGACATATTCAAGAGTGAGGCCCCAAGCAGGGTGACCATATAATTAATGTAGTGACTAAAAAGATAGGGTTTTATCCAGCAGTCCGAGTTCCTTGGCTTGTCTGGAGATACAGATCCTAGTACAGTGCTTTATAGCAGGCTTCTTACATAACACTAGTAAGGACCCCAGACTGTCCCTATCTTGTCATCAGACATTTCTGGGTGTATTGTCTGTGTCCTCCACTGAACCATAAATTATTTAGGCAAGGTGCCAAAATGAGGCATGTGGACAGTACACAGAAGTGCTTGACCTCACCCTCCCAAGGAGCTTCCTGGTCAAGTTGAGCTATGAGGGCATTTTAAAAAGGCACTTCTGTTGAGAAATGTCCATGTGTGGCCTAGGTGCTACGACCTGTGAGAGAAGTAACTGGCCTAAGTGAGCAGAACCCAAAGGGCTGAATGTGGTTATTTGGGTCTTTTTCTTTGCTCTTGATAGCATCCAGCTTGAGCTTACACAAGCCCACAGAAGGGGGCAGTTTCCTGAAAAGATGTGAAGGGGAAGGTCATGGAATTGGTGGCCCAGCGGAGACTTGGGAGGGTGGAGCCGGTCCAGCACCAGGGACGCCCGCAGTGCGCCGCCTGTCTGGGTTGCTGCCCTTGGTAACTCCTCCCCTGTGGCTTCTCCACTCATTTGCCGGCCGTTCCGCATGTATAGATAGCTCAAGTTTAGGTCTGCCTTTCACGCCTCTCTACTGTCCTGACCCTGTCCCAATAGTGGGCCTGTTTCCAGAGAAGGGCAGATGTTGTGAGTTAGGAAGCCACCCCAGAGATAGCTACTGCCAGAGGGTTTCCCCCGGAAGTGAGTTGATGTGTGTTTTATCAGTCTGCATAAAACCGTGTCGGGATTTTGCAGCATAGGAGCCTTTGTCCTTAAGCTACTCTATCACAGCATCGATATCACTTACCGGTATGTGAAGTTTCTGGAAAGCCAGTAGACCTTTGCTTGGCCTTCACAGAATTAACATGTACGGTTTTGACTCTGAGGGTAACCCAGAGATCTCTGTCATGAGGTGATTTGTCATTTTGCTGGGGTAATTCGAACACAGAACGAGACACTCAGCTTCTGAAAGAGAGACTGTCTAGTACAACATCTCCACGGCCCCCTCCTCAGAATGTATCCCAGGCTCATAACTGAACATTCTGGCTGCCTGGAAGGACCATTCAGTCACTTGGTTCAGCTCCACCAGCTCCCCATGCCTGCGAGTTCAGTAGCCCTGGGGATAGGAAGAGGAACAAGATGGAGTCTTCATTCTCATGAAAGCTCCTGGAGAATTTCAGGAAGCAGACAGGTTATTATAGTGCATGACGACAGCTATAGTGTATGGGGTTCAGAATACAAAGACTCTGAGAAAAGACCTGGGGGCCCCGGGGAAGGCTTCTTTAAGATCATATTTGACCTGGGTCTTGAAAAGTGAGTATGAGCTTAGCCTGCCGTCAGGAGAGAGGATGCTTCTAGCCGGAAAGAGCAGTGCATGTTATGTTCGAGAAGCAGCAGGCCATTCCGTGTGCCTGGGAAGGGGCTGGGATGTGGGGCAAGGCCTTGAGGTTGGACTCCTGTTTGGAAGGAGACTGGGAGGCAGGACCCACTGGAATTGTACTTTGTCCCATACAGACAATAGAAAGCTGCCAGTTTTTTAAGCAGCGTTAGTGATCTCATCAGGCCATTTCTCAGAAAATTTGAAGCTTATAAAATACACTTCCAATCATGATAATTTAAATTATATTATTCAAAAGATGCCTGAGAATAATAAGGGCCTTGTAGATCTCCTCAAATCCTCTTGATCACTTAAGCTACGTTATTAAAACAATTGATTAATGATTACTATTACCCTCACCCCATCATCCTAGCTCAAAGTGTGCAAAGTCATTTCTGACTCCTCTTCCACACCCAAGCTTAGTGCTTAATGCTACTTCCTTAATGCTGCTTGATAATGGGTCACTTCTGGCATTCCTGCTGCTACCGTGACCAGAGACTGTCAGTTCCTGCCATAGTACCCTCTCGTCATCCTTCCCAAGGCTGCTTCCAAGCTGCTCTCCAGCTGGCTGCCCGAATGTCTTGGTAGACCACACATCAGATTGCGTCACCTGCCTTCGAATCTTGTAAGATAGAAGCCAGATTCCTTAGCGTGGTCTACTTTTCTCTTCAGGCCCTGACTCCTGACTCCTCGGGCCTGACCACTTCTCTCGTCTCTGGCCCTTCATGTTCCAGCCACGTGGAACTACGAGTTTCCATTATGGGTCGAGCCCGTCTGTGTTAGGGTTCTCCGGAGAAACAGAACCGAAAGGATGTGTAGATACATATAGAAAGAGATGAATTGTGAGGGATTAGTTCACATGATTTTGAAGACTAAGAAGGCCCAGCCTCAGCCATCTGCCAGCCAGAGACCTAGGAGAGCTGTTGATATGGTTCAGTCTGAGTGTGGAAGCCTGAGGGTCAGGAGAGCTAACGCTTCCGATCCCAGACTGAGTTCGGAAGACCTGTGTCCCAGCCAACAGAGCAAATTCGCCCTTCCGTGACCTTTTTGTTTACTCGGGCACTCAACACATTGGACGATGCCCCTTCACACCGCGGGGTGGGGGGGCAGTCTTCTTTATTCAGTCCACTGATTCAGATGTTAATCTCATCTAGAAACACCCGCAGAGACACCCAGAGTGATGTTTAACTGGTCGTCTGGTATCCAGTGGCCCAGTCAAGTAGACACCTGATAACCACCATGTCCTCATTCACCAGCCTTAATCTGTGTCAGGAACAGCACCCCTACATCCCCCATACCCCCTGCCTCTGCAGTCTCCACCCCAGGTGCCCCCACCCCACAGCTCTCTAGAACCTTGGCTCAT